GGCACTCATGAGAGGAAGTTGTGTCAGAGCGCGACAGAGCCGCCAGCGGGGAGACAGGCCAGCCGCCCGCTCTGCCGGCCGGCGCCCACTCGGGTTCCGCCCTGCACGCCCGCCTGGGGCCCCAGCCGGCTGTCTGCAGCCAGTCCTGTTTCCTGCATCCCTGGACACATGACAGTGCCTCCTGTGGGTGTTTCTTTAAGAATGCGCCATCCACAGGTGGTCTGAGACAGTGGACTAGAGGCTCAGCGGAGGGTGACTTTCTAGGACCCAGGCAAGGCCAGGAGACCCTGGGGCCGGAGGGAGGAGGCACCCCATGGCACGCACACTCTCGTGCAGGGGTGGCGTGGGATTGGAGACCTAGGCATGGGACCTGCTGGTCAGGCCCCCAGAGCTGGAGCCGGCAGGCCTGCGAAAGGCTCTCAGCTGAGTTCCCCGCTCAGTCCCTGGCCTCCCCCAGCCCCTGCTCTCCCGGCCTCCTCGTCCACCCCGCCCGAGGTCTTCTTTGGCCCCTGACCCTCCTCTGCCTTCCCCACCTCCTCTCTCCAGGCCTGCTTTAGGGCCTTCTCCTGGACGCTGGCAGAGCAGAGAGTCAGGCCTGGAGGCAGGAACCAGCCTCAGGTCCCCGAGCCCCCTCCTGGAGCCCCTCTTAGACCCAGCAGGTGCCAGGCTCCTGCCCTCAGAATTTGGGGTACAGCGGCTGATGGAGGGGCTGCCGGGCCCCAGCTTTGCACACAGACGCCAGCAAAATGCCCGAGAGTGGGTTAGCTCCAAATTCACTCCCCACTGCCCCCCAAACCCAGTCAGGACAAACAGGTGTCATGAAGTTTCCCCTCCAAGCAAAGGTAGGAGTGACTATGACTGCTGGTGAGCGGGCTGGCCTAGGATTCCCTCAGCTCCTGGGGGGTCCTGGCGGGTGACTCCAGTAGAACTCCCCACTGTCCCCACAGGCTGTCCCTAAGGGATGACCCTGGGTGTGTAACCCACAATCCTGCCCCCTGGGGTTGGAGGAACCCAGCACTGCCCAAGGGGCCCCGCCCGACCCACCAGCCCCTCTCACGTCCACGTGCCGCTGCTTCTGCACAGCGGGCTGGGGACACAGTGGTGACAAAAGCCGTGCACCTGGCAGAGCACGTGTCCACTGGGGCCGGTGGGGCTGGTGGTTCAGAGCCAGCCTGGTAGGCTGCTGCGAGACACAGAGGTCAGGGAAAGGCAGAAGGAAACAGTGATCGACCCCTCCCACGGGAGGCCCCTTCCTCGGCCGGAGCACCCCCACCGCGGGGTTTGCCGAAAGGTTCACGCGGTGCCGCTTTGACCGGAGCCTCAGCTAAGCCCTGTGAAGCAAGGTGCCCTGAAGCCACCTTCCCCCATGAGACCACCTCTCCCCAGGGCTTGTCCTCTCTCCGCGGGACACTTCACCCCACACACTCCTGTCTCCTGCCCTGGACCTGCCTGGGGTCCCCTGTGGCCACCTGTGCCCTGTGGGGAGATCCCGCCCTTGGGATTCCCGGGTGGCCGTGCTGTCTCCCCTCCTTGCAGCTCTGGTCGGTGCCCCCAGCTGGTCCCCTGGGGTCAGGGCCGTGGTGCAAACGAGGCAGCAGGTTCAGCGCGGCTACAGCTGCCTGTGGTGGGGTGGCAGGTGTCCCCAGATTGCACTGTGTAAACCTCGACCTCCCTGAGTGAGGCTGAGGAAACGGTGAGGGGAGGGGTTGGAGGAGAGGAGGGACCACAGGACGCGTGCCGGCCACCTCCTCTGCTTGTCGTGATCGACGGAACTGTCCTGGCATTTGGGGAACGTTCTCGAATTGTCATCCCCAGGCTTCGTGAGATTCTAAGTAGACCCCGCCTGGCTGCCAAGGGAGGCCCTGCGAATTCCCCAGGATAGGGACCTACTGGTGGAGGTTGAGCAGAGCACCCTGCCAGGGCTGGGAGGGACAGGGAAGTGGGGTGTAGGCAGCAGCCTCCCATGTGCTCCACGTGCTGCTTCTGGAAGCCCTGGACCCCACGGGGCCAGTGGGCCAGTTGGCTAGTGCACACCAGCCCTCAGGGAAGAGTCCTGGCTCCGGCATCAAGCATTCATCACGCGTGTGGGTGCCGGCAGCTGGGAGGCTGGGGCAGACGCCGGGGAGACTCGAAGGGGTCCCGACCTGGGCGTGGTGATGGGGAGCGCGTGCTTGGGCTGGGAGGCTCGGGCAGGCGAGTGCGTGGCCGGGTCGCGCACTTCCCCACGGCCGCCAGGTGAGACGTGGTGATGGAGCTGTGGAAGCTAGGCCACTCGGTGGGGTACGTAACCCTCTGTGTTGCTGTCCAGCAGGGTGGAGAAGCGGAAGGTGACCGACCCGGTGGGCGCCCTTAAGGACAAGTACCTGCGGCCGTCCCCACTGCTCCTCCACCCCCAGGTAAGGCCCCGGCAGGGCCCCGAGGTCCATTCAGGCCAAGCCACACACCCCAGGCAGGCCTCCGCTTCCCGTCCCTGCAGACCCACGGGTCACTGTGAGGCCGGAGAGGATGAGAAGGGCCGGGACAGGTGAGGGGGGAGGGTGGTTCTCAGAGGAGACGGCCCTGCCGGTCCCTCAGAGACAGCCCAGGCCCCCACTGCACAGGGGCGCCCACCGACCCATGACTCTGGTCTGGAAGCCGGTGAACCTCCTTGGGGCGGCGGGCGGGCAGCAGCTTGGATGCAGCGAACCCAAGAGTTTTTAATGTAAGGAGGATAGGTCCGGGAGAGAGCCCGGGGGGGAGAGAGCAGGCGGGCCTTTCTGGTGCAGGGACCTGGGGGCACTTGAGGGAAAAGACCAGGGAGACAGGGCCCGCACACGGCGGGGACAGAGGGGGGCCAGGGCGGAAGCAGAGGGACTGGCGCCAAGAGCAGGGGTCCCGGGGGTGCTGGGCAGGAGGACCGCCCTCCCCAGGGCTGCGGACAGCGGCGAGGCCGCCTGTTAAGACCAGAGTCAGGGGTCTGGGAAAGACAGCCCCAAGTCTGGGCAGTGGCCGCAGACCCCACCAAGCCAGCCAGCACTCCTGTGCCCTCCTGCACCCACCCCAGCTCATCCCCCCAGGGGTGGGCGCAGAGAGGCTGCAGTGTGGGGCTGAGCGTCAGAGCCACGAGTCTCCCCGCTTCCCCACCCCGACGCCCACCCTTCCTCACTGCTCGGGGCCCAGCCCCGTCCCCGGAGTCCCGGGCCTGCCCTGGCCCTGCCGGGGATCCGGGGACTGCGTGGCGGGACCGGCCTGGGCCCAGACTCCAGACCCACGCCTTGTTCTGCTCTGTGTTTCCCGCCTGGGACACACCCCCCGTTTGTGGGACCTGCACCCTGCCTGGGCTCACAGCTAAACTTAGTACCTCCCATTGTCTTGCTGGGGCCTCGCAGTTTGGTTAAGAACTTCCCCTGATTTCCTCGGGACCGGCTGGAAAAAACCGGCAAGCCAGCCAGGCACATCCTGTGTTTGTGTTTGTGCCGGAGCTCAGCCGGGAGTATCTGATCAGGCTGGGCAGGCCGGGCCCACCCAGGCCTGAGGACGACCGGCCTGGCAGGGGACCGGCTGCCCATTGTCCCTGCTGCCCACTCCCCCAGCCCTGCCACCCCCGCTGCCTGCCCGTGGGCCCAGAGCCAGGGTTGGGGGCTGGACAGAGGACTACTAAGTCACCTGGTTAAATGATCTGAGGTCAGTCCATCACTCGGACAGGAGAACTTGCGGACTCTTACAAAGTCTGAGGGTCACCACTGTGCCTAGACGTCAGTCCGTGCTGGTCAGCTGCCTGGTAGGACATGACAGGGCCTTCCATTCCGAGGTCTGACATGCAGGTGTGCAGCCCCTGGGGTGCAGGGTGAGGCGGTCCTGCTGAGTCACTGCGCTTAACCTCCCCGGGGCCCTGGGGAGTCTGTGGTGGTGGCGAGTCCCAGAGCCTCCTAAGGCTGTGGCTAAAACTGAGCCCCAGAGGCAGGCGGGCAGAGTGTGCGCAGGTCCCTGGGCCGTGGAGGGGCCAGTGGAAGGCTGGACGGTGGCTGAGGGGCAGGGCAGTTTCTGCCTGTCTTCTGTGGGCACGGGGAGGGCGACCCCAGCTGGAAGCATCTGATGGGGGAGCATGCCCGCCCTGGGGGTGGCGAGCCCCGACCCCTGCCGCCGGGTGGAGCTGACCAGCGCCCAGGCAGCTGCCCGGGGTCAAGGGAAAGACCCCACTTTCTGTTCCCTAACCCCTTTCTGGCATTTTACTGTAGCCAGTTATTTGCCAGCCTAAACCCTGAGGGACCCTGGGCGCAATGACAGCTCTTCCTTTTCTGGCCCCACCCCAGCCTGCGCCGGGGTCCAGCTTGCCGAGGGCTCTCTCAGGCAGAGAAGTGCAGCTGAGGCCCGTGCTGCCCCGTCCCCTCTGCCGTCTGCAAGCCCCAAGGCCCCTGGGGCAGGCGCAGCCTGGGGTTCCCATCAGAACCGTGCCCACCGTGTGGAGGTGACCGATGCCCCGAGAGAGCAGCTCCTTCCCCTCCCTAGACGAGCCCTTGGCCTCTCCAGGAGCAGAGAGGCGGCCCCTTTGTCCACGTGGCCGTGTGCTGGGTCACCTTGGCTCCATCGCTCCCAGGCTCAGGTTATGGGGTCTAGTCTGAGGCTGTTGGACTCCTTTTCGGCACTTTGCCTGCAATGACGGCCTGCTGCCACCAGGTGGTGGTGGTGGTGCCTCAGGCGCCTGAGCCAAGTCCCACCCTGAGAGTCAGGAACTTTTTGACATTTCACAACTAAAAAAAAGGTAAAATTCTGTCTTTAACCCAAACTAGCCATCCAGCAGTGCTGGCCAGAGGCCCAGCCAGCAGCGCCTTCGCAGTAAGGGGCTGTGCGGTCTCCCGTGTCTCACCAGCGGGGAGGCTGTCCAGTGGAGGCCAGGGGCAGCCCCCTGCCCAGACCCGACTGCGACGGGGCTCTGGGAGGGACAGGCGCGGGGCTGGCCGCAGAAGGTGAGGGCCCGCTCAGAGGCCGAGAGGCGGCCAGGAGACTGCTTCCGATGACCTCCCGGGCGGTCGTCCAGGGCCTCAGATGCCCGTGCGTGGGTCCACACGCGTCAGGAGAGGCGGCAGCTCGCGGAGAGTCCCACAGCCTCTCCTGCTCTCGCACCGACAGATGTCTGCCATCGAGACCATGACGGAGAAGCTGGAGAGCTTCGCAGCCATGAAGGCGGACTCCGGCAGCTCCCTGCAGCCCCTCTCCCACCACCCCTTCAACTTCCGGTCCCCACCCCCGACGCTCTCGGACCCCATCCTCAGGAAGGGCAAGGAGCGGTACACGTGCAGGTGAGGCCCGAGGCCGGGGGCGGCCACGCTGGCTGGTGGCCCTGCACTGCGGTCCCAGCCAGAGGGCGCAGCGTGCCAGCAGCAAATGGCCCGCTGTCCCCCGAGGTCACGCCCGGAGATATACATGTGCCCCCCACCAAGCTGAGCTCCTGTGAGGGCGAGAGAAGGCAGCCTTGGCCGGCCGGGTGGAACTCGGGCCGCCGGAGGCTGCGGGGTGCCGGGCAGTGTGTGACCAGAGCTCTGGGGGCGGGTGGGAAGACCTGTCCGTCCCCTGCTGCGCAGGCCTGTGTGAGCCGGTCCTTGCCGGCTCGGCCAAGGCTGGGCTCCGGGCTGAGACACTCCGTGGGGCAGGGGCACAGCCCTGGGACGGGTCAGGACTGGCCACAGTCCTGTCTGCCCAGTAGTGCGTGCCGGGCTTCCCTGTGAGCCTCCGCTGGGCCCCGGGACTGAGGAGAGACTGAAATCCAGGATGTGCAGCCGGGCCACCTACCCCCCAGGGACAGGAACTCGGGCCCCGGTCCCCAGCTGGAGGAGCGGTACTGGGAAGCACCTGATGCCTGAGTCTCTGGCGGCACTCCTGTCTAATGGCACCCCTCCCCCCCACCGCAGGTACTGTGGCAAGATCTTCCCCCGCTCAGCGAACCTCACAAGGCACCTGAGGACGCACACGGGGGAGCAGCCGTACAGGTGGGAGCCGGCTCCGGGCCAATCCTCCGCCTCCGCGGGAAGGGCGGCGGGTGGGAGACAGCGAGCTCGGGCCGTGTCCTGGGTCCCTCCCTCCTGGCCCCAGAGCCATTCTGTGCCCTGGGATTCTGCAAAGATGAGGCTGACCCAGGGGACCCTCCCACCTGCCGCGGGGGCATTGACCAGAGCAGGGGGTTCAGGGCAAGGGGAGCGGAAGCCAGGCCAGGGGGTGATCAGCATCACCCGCACCCAGCCCAACCACAGCCATCACTGACCTAACCCAGGGCAGGGACCAGGGCCGGCGCATCAGGCAAAAATATGAGGGTGGGCCAGTCCCGGAGGAAAGGGGCTGTGTGTGAACGTGGGTGTCCCGAGGGACTCGCCCATGTCCCCCGACTGCTCTGGACAGAAGCGGGGTCTGCCCGCACCTCACTCCTCGGTGCCTGGGCTCCCTCCTGCAGAGATGCAGCCAGAGATGGGGGACTGAGAGCCACTGCATTTCGTGTTCACAACTAGTGATGGCGTCACTGTCTTAGTGACTCGGAGCCTGAGGCTCAGAGACGCCCCTGACTCACCCAGGATCCCAGCACACATGACGCCGCGGCCCTCCACCTCGGTCTCTGAGGCCCTTGTGGGGCAGGAGTTGAGGGCACCGCCCAGTAGGGCTGGGAGTCCCAAGAGGTGGTGACCGAGAAGCACGTGGGGAAATGCTGGTTCCGAGGCCGAGATAGCATCCTGGGGTGTGTCTGGTGGGCAGCAGCGTGGGAGGCAGGGGTTTGGCGTGGTTTCACATTGGCAGCAAAAGATCCTTGTACTCCAGCCACACAGAGCTCAGAGTCACCCACTGACCCCAGAGACTGGGAGTGTCCCCTTCCCTGGGAAGGGCAGCCACGTGGGACCCCTGCAGGTGTCATGTCCCCGTGCCCCACCCCCCGACCATCACGAGCTGTGTTCTGTCCTGGCTGGATACACGTCACTTGCCTGTTCTATGTTCAGTGCCTCAGCCCGTCCCCGACACACAGTCCCCGCCCTTCCCCTCAAAAAGTGGCTTACAACTTAACCAAGGCTGGTGTGGCCCAGTTCCCTCCCCGAAAATGAGCCGTGAGTGTTTCTGTAAGGAGAGCTGACTTCTGGACAGTGTCGTGTGTGAGAGCCCCCTGGGGGGGACGGGGAGGGGTCAGGGCCGCGTTTATAGGATTTAATTATCATCTATTTCTTGTGCTTTTTCCAATCTCGTGAGAGTCGACTTGCGTGACCATTACTCTGAAAGTTTGCGTTGCGAATCCCGCCTTGATCTGGCTCGAGGCAGCCCTGCCGTGAGGGGTTGGGGTGGTGGCTGCTGGTGATGTCACCGGGCTCCCGGGCTCGCTCTGGGAGTCAGAGGGGCCTGAGCTGGAGGAGGAAAACGTGCCCTTGGGTCCACAGAACCCGGTGCCGGCACAGGCCAGGCCCCCCCAGGAGACGCTGATTAAAACTGCTTGCCCGGCGCCCACGCGTGTGCGCTGCGTGTGCGCCCTGAGGGGCCGGGCTGTGTGGGGCCCTCACAGGCGGGAGGGAGCAGGGCTTTTCACGCACTGTCCTGGGTGCTTGGACACTGGAACGTGCTTCCTTTTGAGTCCTGGCCCGGGATCATCTACAGTCCCTCAGGGTGTGTCTCAAAGCCCTGACGTGGGGAAAGAAAGACCCTTTACTGCGACTGGGGTGCTTCCTAGAGGGGAGATCAAACCTCCGGCCGGCGGGCCCACGGCCGCCTGCTGACGGCTTCTCCCGGCTCACAGATCTTCAGCGTGGACTGGGAACCATCTCTTCAAGCTCCAGCACGTAGAGCCTGTTGAGACGCGGGTGGAGAAATTCAGACATTGGCCTGGGAGCGAGGCAGGCTGCTTCCTTCACCTGTCCTGGCAGCCGGGCTCAGAGGTCCCTGCAGGCTGCTGCCAGGGGACCTTGAGCCACACTCTGGACGCGGGTGCCCGTGGGCTGGCCGTGGGCTCCTGGTGGGACCTGGGGTTCTGGCTTAAGGATGCTGCCTCCCCACCTGCCGTTCATTTCCTTTCGGGCTCCCGTCCTGCTGCCTGAGTTACGCCATAGCACCCCAGCAAGCTCCCATCACCATGGCCGTCGGGGCGACGGGTGGCGCATACGTGTCCATCCTTTGTTAGTTTTACAATCGGGGCTGGGTTCCACAGTCTCTTCTTTCTCCCCTTCCCGGCTTTCACAGTTCCCAAAAGGCTTCTCCCTGTGATGGCAGGTATGGCCCCACTGGGTCCCGGGAGGACGCTGCCGCCCACCCGGGGCCGTGTCACCTTCCCCACACCCTGTCTGGCTTCCCCAGGATGGCGGAGACGCGGTCACGGCAAGGTCCCCGGGCCGGCCAGTCTGTGCTCTCTCATTCCCGTCGGAGCGCGGTGGTGTGTGATTTTACACAGCACAGCCATAAATTTCACTAGCCACTTGTCAGCTTATTTACAACGCAAATCCCAGCTGCTTAGAGAACCCTGCTCCCTCGCAGCCCTGGGTTCACAGCTCCCCTAAATTTCAAATGCATTTCCCTGGGCCATTTATTTAGATTAGAACCAGGAGAGGGCCAGATTCAGGACTCTGTGACCAAACTGAATGCATGGCTGCCCACCCCCCGGCCCCTGCCCGCCCCGCGGAGGTTGGAGAGGGAGCGCCAGGTCTGTGACCAAGCGCCTCTCCCAGTCCCGTTTCTGCGCTCAGCATCCCCGCTGCTCCGAGATCGCGCACAGCCGCTGGCAGAGCTGGCAGAAGGGTCCCGCGTTCCCAAAGAAACAGGAAGGGCAGGCTCGGTGTGCACGCCCCCTGGATGAACGTTATCTCCCATGCTGACGCCCTGCTGCCCGCGCACACACGTGCGCACCAGAGCCCCCAGCCAGAGTCCTGCGCGCACCAGAGCCCCCAGCCAGAGTCCTGCTGCCGTGGCCCAGCTGGACGCACAGCGCGGGGGGTGCCCGCAGTGAGCTGTCCGGCCTGTGCTTGGACTCCTGCCACCGGGGGGGCAGTGCCGTCTGTGGAGCTGTGGGTCCTCCGCACCCCATGTCCCCCTACGCATCCCTCTGCTTCTTGCTTCTTGGTGCCGGTGTCGTCGGACCCTCACTTTATAAAACGGGGAAATCACCCTCTCTTTCCCGGACCTCAGGGCCTCCGATTGTGGTCGTGAAGGCCGAGCCCCGCACGGGCCCCACGCCCAAGGGGACCTGCCCGGGGCAGACTGTTCCCCGCGGCAGCTGCCCAGCAGTGAGCGCTTTGCTTCGATGAGCTCGGAACGTCCAGGCAGCATTCTGACAGACGCACCCGAGGCGTCTGGAGGCAGGCGCGTCCCTCTCTAATCTCCCAAGTGCGTGGTGCAGGCTGGCAGCTGGTGCCCCTGCGGAGACGCACAAAGATCACGTGGGCACGTGGGGCTGGCGGTACCCTCAGCCGCAGGGGGTCCGTGCGCAGGAGGCAGCCTGACGGGGCAGGGCGGAGAGCCCCCTGACCTTAGAGCAGTGGAGGATGCTGGAGACTCGAGGCAGCCCCACGCCCCTTCGTGGATTGGCAACTGAGGCCCCGAGGGAGACAGGGTCCGCCCAAGGACCGCTAAGAGGGGCCGGGACCAGGCCAGCGCTCCTCGCCCTCCCGGTGCCAGGATGGGGGTCTCTCTGCCGGGGAGTCTGGGCCCCTCCTTCCCGGGAAAACTGGCCAGAGCATCTTTCCTGGTGCGCTGCTGCCCCCTTGAGGCTGCCAGGAGCACGTCACCCTCTGCTCACAGACCACCAGGCCTCGGCCTCCGTGCTGGGGGACCCAGACAGCAGAGGGCGGGAGATGCTGAGAGAGGCTGGAGGGTCCCCCCGACGCACAGCTGGGGGCTCAGCCCCAGAGCGTCCCCTCTGCCAGCGGGGGGCACATTCTGAAGCTGCCCACCGCCCGGAGTCGAGGGGGGCACCGTGCTTCCTAGGCTGAGACTCG